CGGCTCCTTTTATATGGTAAAGATTTTAGGCAATGGCATCTATAATGAAGGTAAACCTTCTAAATTACAATATTTTTATAAATTATAACAAAATAAAAGCTTTTAGGTGCCAAATGTCGCTCGCAAACTACCGATTGACACAGCCACAAACAGGAAACTGCCAATGTGCACCAACAATCCCATTATTACGTCCAATTGCCAAACATTTTTACCCAGCGCTATTGGGTTAATCCTCTCACTTTGCAGGCTATTCTTCAACTAACCTTAACAAATTTCAAAAATATCACTTTGCCCTTTTTTATTAAATATCTAAGAATGTATAACTTTTCTAAATTTTTAGTAGCTAATGTTATTTTGTTTCTGTTTCATTACATTCCTATTTCTGAAGATTTCTGAATATTGCATTTGATATATACAGTCCTATAGTAATAGATATCTAATTTGCATTACAATAATCTGATGTTACTAAATACAATATCATATGAAGGGATATTTCTGAAGTAATCTAATAATCTGAGGCTCCTCTCAATAGTTGGTATTAGCAATAAAATATAGCAAAAGTTATGCAACTGATGCAGTCTGCTAGCATATATATGAATCAGGAAAAGCACAAAGAATAATAGAAAAATCATGAAATAGGTGTTGAAAACAATTATTTAACATAATGCTTACACATCATCTTGGCTAGCAACTTGGATACAATGCAGCCCCTCTTCCTCATCTTGCTCTGCTTGCAGTATGGAAGATATGGGATGACTCCTACAATGTTGCGTGCTGAGGATGTCTTGCAAGCATATGCCATGATGAGAAGTTCCATGATGTTATTATTGACATCCCTGTTGTGGTAATTTGAAGAAATAATGATATGCTTATAAGCTCTTAGTTATAAATTCAAGGTTATTATAGAGTACTCTTAACAGAGACATTGACAAACACTGTATCAGGTAATCATCATGAAAGAATTTAATTTTCCAATACTCGGTAAATCTGGTAACAAAATTCTAAAATAAAATTCAAAACTACATTTACTGATATAGAGTTTTACATGAATGTTGATTACTATTATTTCAATAACAGACATAATACGAAGATGCATCCAACTACACCTTTGGTTAAAAAAGCAAATGCATAGTGTGACTGAAACTTTGATGAAAAAAGGAGACAAAAATTTGCATTAAAACCATCTGCAGGCAATAAGTTTCCGCTATCTTTAAAAATCACACAAACTCTCAGCCAAGTTTTCAATACCATATCCCTTATCAGCCAGTTACATACATTTCAGTGCCATGTAGCTCATTACACTGAAATCATACAAGGTCCTTGCCTTTCTTTTGTTTTAGATTTCTTATATCTAGACAGGTCCATGGCTTGATAATCCTGAGCTAAATTATAGTGCAAAGCAGCTATTCATATTGCATCACTCTACAGTCATGAAGGAGCATTAAGATATGGTCAGACTACCCATAGATTTGTGAAATCCAGCAATTTTTTATGGAATTTGCCTATAGATGGATTCAATTCACTGGACTTCTGCACATATGTGCAATGCAATGGACACCCACTCGTCCTTCGATAGATGAATGGAAAAATTGCATACGTTGAGAACCTACAGTATGCATAGATTTTCCTTTCAAAGCATAAACATTATTGTATACTTTAAATCATTCAGAATTATTCATATTTACTTTTACATTAACACTTACATTTAAATTTAAGTTTAAAAACGAAAAAAAAAAAAAGACCATGAATTCTCATTTGACTGACAAATATAAACAAATGTGTAGCCGCCAACTTCAAGTTCAAATTGTGGTTCCCATGAATATTCAAAATGTGGAATTCTGACGCAGTTTACTCATCCAGAGTCTTTTCTTGCTTCTCTTGTTCTTCTTATATTCTCTATAACTCCGGTTACATGAAAGAGTAGCCAGAGATTGCAAGATCCATAGTGAGTTTCTGTGGTCACGGTACTGCGATTCCACTGTACAAAGTTGATGGTTCTTTTTGCTCTGTGAACACCACAGAAAATCGCTAGATTCCAGTGAAATTCGTGGTTAGTCTGACCATACCTTTAGATGACCTATCATTTACCCAAAGCAATACCTATGCAATTAGAGTTAATTGTAGCATAATACTAGTTTTTCTCAAGGAAACTACACATAAAGCACTATGCTTATGAAACTTGGCTGCTGGTGCGCACACATTGCAAAACTACTAAATCAAAAGGCTTCCTATTTGCTATTTCTTTATCTAACAATGACATAACTGGCCTATTGCTGACAAGATAATGAAAGAAACATCAAGAAAGCATGTGAAATTGCTTTTTCACTTTATTGCTCCTTTGGCATATATACAGCATGTAGAAAGGCTTTAGTAGCAATATATGCTTTGCTTCTCTTCTGTTAATTCTTTTGTTCAACATAAACCTTTTACTGTGGTATACATTTAAGCACTGCGTACACTAAACATGAAACCTATGACAGAAAAGATATAAATATTTAAA